ATAGAAATTCTAAAATTTCTACAGTAACTGACCCAGTTTAACATCAATGTAAGTAGACTCCTGTGGGACATGATGCGTATTTGGACATTCATTTTTATTCAACACTGCTACATTACTATTTCTTCAGTTGATGCACATCATAGGATATATATTACATCCTCAAGTTCACAAATCTCTAGGCATTTGGTTCACTTTCAATCAAATCCTGCTTCAGAACACATGTATTTCTCCATGTGTCTGGACTGGTCTTTTCATGAGACTTTTTACAAACACATTATGTTGTATTTCCATAATAACTTTTCAAGCAAAACTTACACACCTTTCAAGGTAAACCATAACCTCAATATTACCATTAGATGTATAACTGGTTGGAATGAATGATCCTGTATCAGTATAAGATTTCCTATATATTTTCAGATATCAATTTAATCTATTATTAAAATTGAAACCATTTATATTCTTCATTTACAGTTTGTCTATTCATGCATTATCTTTATACTCATAGACCCAGGGTACACCTATTGGAACCACTGAATGCTAATTTATACGTCTTCAACATATTGCTCCCCAAAATAGTGGAAGAAATACTCATGTGACCTGATCTACATATACATTTTATCACAGTGATATTCTGGACACAAAATGCATAGGTCACACTTATGATTGTACCAAACCCTAATTGGAAAGTGAGCATGGATTACTCAAAACATCCTTGTCCAGGTTGCCTAATGCTCTCAAATGTCAAACCTATTGGTGACTACACATTTGTTTCTGCCTAAGATTATATATTCAACCTCAACCCTGTTGAAAATGTCTAATCCTATCACTCACTTTGTACTTTGCCTGATTTCCTAATGTCTATATTCATTTCTTCTTTCCTACATATTTTCCCCATTTCATCATTGTGACTGACTCTTCACATGTGCTGACATTTACATTCACTCTGTTCTAACAGACACCCTTTAGCTAAAGAACTTTTGGTCCAAATTTCGTACTCACTTTTCTTTCTAAACCTACTGACTATCTTCCTAATCCTACCTAGTATCCCTTTTTGAATGGATGTTCTCTTCTACATTGAATCATCGAAGGTACAAGGTCCAGTGCCATTGTATATGGATTTATCAGAGACATCTGTACAGAATGTAATTCAAAGCTAAGTATCCCAATCAAGGGCCTAATGCCCTTCTGGCCTTCAAATCTTACTTAGATTTTTGTTTTCATACATATATTTCACCTCTCTTTTATTATAAATATCACAGGTTCCCAATACCATTCTTCATCCATTAGAATGATTCCTAAACCAATTCGAACATGTTCTTAACCCCAAGCAT